TGTGTGGGGACAATGCCCTTGTTAATTACAGTATGGGGAACATTGTGGCAAGACACCACACAATGTCCAACAGTGGGGAAGGGGCGGTTTTCACCCTGCAGATGTGGCCTGGCTTTTCTTCACCTGTTTTCTAACAGGCATCCATATTTCTCTCCAGTATTGATCTTTGTGGCAGCTGCCCAGAGCCAGATTTCCCTTATATCTCTTCTGATGGTTGCCCCCCTGGCCCATGTGAGTGGGCAGCTGTGTTGTGGTGGGAAAGTGCCTGTCTGTAAGCTGGCAGAGGGCTGGGGGAAAGGGTAGGCGCCCTAAGAGTCCCTCCTGGCCTCACACCAGCCACTCCCCATTGTCCTGTAGGAGATGCGGCCCCCGGCTGTCAGCAGAGGCCGCAGAGAAGCTGAAGAACCGCTACATCATCATGCGGAGCGGGGCCCGTCAGCACGAGAGGGACAGTGACCGCCGCTCCAGCATCCCCATCACTGTGCGGTGAGCAGGCAGGCAGGGTTGGGCCAGGGCAGATGGGCCTTGCTTTACAAAAAAGCAGGGTGTGCCTAGCAACCAGGGACAGTGGTCCATACTTTTCACCTGGCACAGGCCCGTAGTAGCTCTGGGCAGCAGGAGTCCCTTTGGAGCATAAGCTATGACCTCCTTGATCTCGTTGATGATCCGTATTTCTTGGTTTAAGGCTGGGCAAACCTGGACCCCTCTTGTCTGAATTTGAACTGACTTCTCCCATTGTAGGAAGCCTGAGGGAAGGACCCATGCCTGGGAGTCAAGAGACTTGGGTCCTAGCCTCTAGCCCACTGTGTGACTGTGGGGAAATTACATTTCTTCTCTGGCCTCAGTGTTTTTAGCTCCTAACTCTGTTAATTGTTGACTTTATAGTCAGTACAGTGGGTAGGAGCCGGGAGTTACCTGGTTTGAATCCTGCCTCCAGCATTGACTGGTTGGAAATGGATTTGGCTATATGTAATGGTAAATCCAAATCAAGTAGCTTAAAGAAATGGGAAGTTGATTTCTGTCTTCTGTAGCACTGTCTGGAGGAAGATGGTATGGGACTGGTGTGAGGACTCCTCAAGCTCCCCTTACTCTTAGTCCACGATGGCTGCTGGAACTTCAGCCATCACCTCCAGGCAGCAGGAGAGGAAAGAAAAGAGGGGTTCCCTTTTTAAGGACACTTGACGAAATTCCCACACAATGCATGGACTTACTGGCCACAGTTTGGTCACACAAATACAGCCTGGTACAAAAGATGCCTGGGGTGTGTCTTTTAGTGGATTGCTGTGTGCCAGGTGCAATGGCCTGCACTTGTAATCTTAGCACTTTGGGAGGATGAGACAGGAGGATTGCTTGAGGCCAGGAGTTTGAGACCAGCCTGGGCAACATAGCGAGGCTCCTATTTCTAGAAAAAGTAAGTAATTAGCCAGGCGTGGTGGTATATATCTGCAGACCCAGCTACTCAGGTGACTGAGGCGGAAGGATCACTGGAGCCCAGGAGTTCCAGGCTGCAGTAAGCTATGATCATGCCACTACACTCCAGCCTGGACAAAGAGCAAGACATTGTCTCAAAAAAAAAAAAAAATTCGCAGTTCTATGACTAAGATTAAAAGGGAGATGGATTATGGGGACAGCCAGTAGTCTCCATCACAGTCTACCACTTTGGGCAAGCACCTCCTGGTAATGGGGTGGCCAGGGAGGAAGGGAGTAGTGGGCCGAGGCCACTCTGAGCATGCTGTTGGCCCCACAGGCAGCTGGAGGCCATTGTGCGAATCGCTGAAGCCCTCAGCAAGATGAAGCTGCAGCCCTTCGCCACAGAGGCAGATGTGGAGGAGGCCCTGCGGCTCTTCCAGGTGTCCACGTTGGATGCTGCCTTGTCCGGTACCCTGTCAGGTGAGCAGGTGCAGGGACATGGTCTCAGTGGATCTGGGTTCCCTGGCTCGGAGCTCTGTGGGCAGGACTCTGGGATGCTGGGGGCCTGCAGTATGTGTGTTGCTTCTCCGAGTTTGCCGAGGAGGGCATGCCAGGCCAGGAGCTGCATGAAGTAGAATATGTGGCTCCTGGGGGAGGAGCTGCTCGGGTGGAGGCAGCGCTAAGTGTCAGTTTCCCTATGAGGGAGCAGGTTTGGTGCATTTGAGTGGGGAAGCACTGGGTGAAGAATGGGGTGAGTGGGGGCTGTTCCTCTTGTCCCCCGTGGTGAAGATTCTGCCTCTGCCCTGGAGACACTTCCTGTCACATGAGACGTTTGCTAGTGGAGGCCTCTGGGATGCTGCAGGCACAGAGGGCAGGGGCGATCTGGAGTGGTGATAATTTGAGTTGGGTCTTGTAGGCTGTGTAGGAGTTTGCCTCACAGACTCCGCTTTCAGTGGCTTCTTGACCACAAGCATGCCATCTCCGTAGCTGGAGCACCAAGGCCTCTGCAGCAGTAATTGGAAGTCAGGAGCCTCCTGGTTGCCAAGGGCTCCTCAGGGCACCTCGTAGGTGTGTCCAGGGCAGCCAGCCCTCGCCGTGGGTCACTGACAGGTCCCTTCCAGCTCATCATCTCTCAACTACTCCAGCAACAAAAGTTGTGCTATGGCTTCCAGGGACCTGCAGGACCTGGTCCCTAGTGACACTCTGGCCACATCTCTGTTGCATTGGGCCCCGGGCTGCTTTTTGAATGAGACAGGCGTGTTCCTGCCTCTGTGCCTTTGTGCTCGGCCTGGAGTATCCCCAGATGTGTCCTGTCTCCTGTCAGGCCTGTATTGTGCCAGCACACGAGGTGCTCTTTTCTGGTGCATTCTTCAGGGCTTGGCTCAGGCTATTCTTCCTTGGGCTAGAGGCTGTCTCTCTCCAAGAATTCCCATTGTGGGCACACTGGGGTCCCAGCACCTCTGACCCCGGCTGCCTCACTTCTCAACGCTAACAGGGGTGGAGGGCTTCACCAGCCAGGAGGACCAGGAGATGCTGAGCCGCATCGAGAAGCAGCTCAAGCGCCGCTTTGCCATTGGCTCCCAGGTGTCTGAGCACAGCATCATCAAGGACTTCACCAAGCAGGTGAGCCTGCCGTGGAGTGGGGGTGCAAGCCTGCGCAGATGCAGGGGTTCTGCCGGCTCCCACCCACGCAGCACCAGTGTCTTACTCAGCAGACAGGCCCTGAATGGGGGTGCGATGGATCAGACCTTTTCCAGCCATCATTCCTTCCCTAGGGACGGCTTCATCAAGAGCAAGGGGAGGGGTATTTTTCTGTCCCATGAAGGGGAGGGGAGAAGAGAGGTGGTTGGGATCTGGTGGAACCCCACACAGGCTCCCCGCAGCCATTCCCATCTGTTCGTTGCCCTGTTGCCTGACGTTTCATGGAGTGGGAAGGGGCAGAGCCACTAGCTCACTGAGGAGGGTGCTGTTGGCCCCATAGAGAGGAGATGGGATTTTCCAGATGCTCTGGAGAACCTGTCACCTTTAAACTCTCAGGAGCAATCCTAGTTTCCTGTCTGTGCTCTCTGTCTTGAACATCATCTCATTTTGATTCAGGGCAGTTATATGTAATGGGTGGTATGGTGCCTATTCCATAGGTGAGCAGACTGAGGCTTAGAGAGAGGTTTAGAGCTTCAGTTCTAGAGTCAGATGGACTTAAGTCCCAGCTCTACCACTTAATTGCTGTGACCTTGAGCAGGTGGCTTAGCCTCTATGTGCCTTAGTGTCTGGTACACAGTAGACACTTGGGAAGTGTGGGTCTTTCTTCAGGTCAAAGGAAGCTGGGTATAAAGTTCACTGTGAGCCTGGGGATGTCTGAGCTCTGTTGGGGTCCCCTTGGACAGCATGCACCTTCATCCAGCCATGTGCTCCCACAGAAATACCCAGAACACGCCATCCTCAAGGTGCTGCAGCTCATGCTGCGGCGGGGCGAGATCCAGCATCGCATGCAGCGCAAAGTTCTCTACCGCCTCAAGTGAGTCGCCGCCTCACTGGACTCGTGGACTTGCCCATGTCTCAGGCCCCTCCTGCCACTGTCTGCCATTGAGAATGCTGCTTTGTTCTCTGCCGCCCCACTGCTGTCCTCGAACTTCCCATGCACCCTCCTTTCTGCTCCAGAGGGAGGAGCTGTAGTGTCCTGCCGCCTCTGGGCCACTGCCTCCAGCGCAGTTCTGAGAAGTGTGCTTTTGGCATCTGTTAATAATAAAGGCACAGTGTGTTCAGGTGTCTGTGGGTTTCCTGAAGCCTCCATCAGGAGGTTTCCTGTCACCTCCATCATGCCCTCATGGCAGGGTAAGTGTGGGGGAACAGGGCCTGGAGCCAGACGGACCTGGGTGTCTGACTTGGATCTGCCACTAAGACTTCTGGGCAAGTCACGTGACTTGAGTGCTCTGTTTCTGAATCTGTAATGGGGCTCATAAAGCCAGTCCCTTGATGCTGGGAATCCAGTGAGATCCAGGGAGTAGGGACATGCTTCGCAAAGTTGTGTGAGTTTGATCCGCCTCACCTGTTCCCCAGCAACTTACTGAGGGGCAGAGAGGGGGTGCGGCAGTCAGACCGCCTGAATTCGTCAAACCTCTCCAGGTCTTAGTTTCCTCATCTGTAAGCAGGCTGACACTAGCACCAGCTTCACAGGGTTGTGCTTAGGGTCAGTGAGCAGCGGTTAGTGAAGTGAGTGTAGTGGCCCACCAGTCAGGAACTGGGACTCCAGCCAGTTCTTCCCTCGTGGGCCACGTGTAACTGTGTGGCCTTGGACGAGACAGTTCACTTTTCTGTGCCTGAGTTTGTGAGTAAACTGGAGAGGGGCTATTCCTTACCCTGAATTGTGAAAATTGAATGACAGAAGGCACTGGTGACAGCGGTGTTGGAGGAAAGTGTCGCCCGTGCATTTGTCACTTTGCCTAACTTCAGAAAGTCACTCTGAGTCGGTATGTTTTGTTTTTAAAAAAAGCTAGGATTCATAATATTAGATAGAAATCAATGAAATAGGCTGGGAACGGTGGCTAACGCCAGTAATCCTGAACTTTGGGAGGCCGAAGTGGGCAGATCACCTGAGGTCAGGAGTTCAAGACCACCCTGGCCAACATGGTGAAACCTGGTCTCTACTAAAAATACAAAAAATAAGCCAGGCATAGTGGTGGGTACCTGTAATTCCATCCGCTTGGCAGGCTGCGGCAGAGAATTGCTTGAACCCAGGAAGCAGAGGTTGCAGGGACCCGAGGTCGTGCCACTGTACTCCAGCCTGGGTGACAGAGTGAGACTCCAGCCTGGGTGACAGTGTGAGACTCCATCTTAAAAAAAAAAAAAAAAAAAAAAAAAATGAAATAAAATATTTGATATTTAAAATACATTCAGAAATATAAGGTGTCAAGCAAAACATGAATTTAGAAATCTGTGAAACTTTATTAAATAAGGTATTTAGAAGTAATTGCCATGTAAAAATGACACGAAGAGCTTGAAGTAAGATTATCTGATTTTTCTAAAAATACAAGAAAGCTTGGTGCATCTATCTGTGTGGTCATTGTAGAATCACAAGTATACTTTTGTGCAGAAAATTCCTGCAGCTCAAAGCCCTTTCTGACTCCATATTGTTCCGGGAAATGGAGAGATGAGAGGAGCTAAATCGGCTTTCCTCTGACTCACTCGTGTTCAAAGCCCGTTTCTTTTCTGATAATTTCGAGAGTGTCTGGAACAGCTTTTGTTTTCTTGGTGAGATGGCAACCTCACTGGGTGCGCCGTGGGTTTTGCGTTCAGAGCTGCATCTCTGGTTCCCAGTAGCCTTTCATCTTGCTCAGGTGGGGATTTGCATTCATCTCAGGCCTAAGGTCCTTCCGTTCCTGCCTATTCATGGAGTGTGGGACTTGGATGAGCTTCACCCTGCAGCGGTAGCTGCATTGCTGGTGGCTTCTCCACCTGTGTGGTGGGGTCGTGCTGCTATGGTCACCTCTGTTTTACAGGTGGGAAAACAGGCTCAGAGAGGCAAGTGTCACAGGGAGTGGAGGGTCAGGCTTCAAACCCCACCTGGTGGCTCCGAACCCCACCCATGTCACCTTTTTCTGGAACATTCTTTCTGGGCAGTCCCTGACCCCAGCCTTAGTGGGATGCTGGGCAGAGACAGTCCTGGCCTGGGGGAGGCAGGTGGCAGTCAGGCTGGGGAGACTGACCCTGTCTGGTGACCATTCTCCAGGGTAGGAGGCCTGACTGGCAGGCACAGGACTGAGAGGCCAAAGGGGGCCCAACTGGCTTGGCTGTGGTGGGTGGGGTGGGGCTCATAGGAGGTGCAGTTGTGCTCAGAACATGCCAGCCTCCTTCTAGTCAGGGCAGCAGCAGGAAGAGAGGCCGGGACCAGGGAAACCCCTGCTTGTTTGGGGAAACAAAGGCTGAAGGGAGGCCAGCCTCTAGCAAGAGTTGGGAGGCCAGGAGAGGGGAGCACTCAGACTGTGAGTAATAGTTGGGGCTCGGCCTAGTAGAATCTCCAGGCCTGCCTCAGTGACACCTGGAGAGGCAGGAGTGTGGCGGGGACTGAGTTCCTGAGCTGCTGCTGCCACTCAGGGTGGCTGAGCTCTTCACTCCCCTGTGATCTGGCTCCCCTAGGCCTGTCTTCTCAGATCTGTCCCTACCCTCGCCAGCTACAGGCTGCAGCCCAGCGGACATTTCTCTCTGCCAGGCAAGTCACTCCACCCCTCAGCCTCTTTTCATCTATAGAAAGGGCACAGCAGTACAGTAGCCCTTCCATCCTAGGGTGGCTGTGAGGATTAATTGAGGGGGTAGGCCTCGGAGCAGCTGGGCCTGGCCCCAGGGAGGTGCTCCTGGGAAGGACTGGGCACCTGTGGTCTTCTCTGCCTCACAGCCTCTGCCATCTCGAGTTTCCCCTTTTCATTCCTTCATGTACGCAGAGGCAGAGCCTCTCCTGCTGTGTTCCCTGCCCCACTCTACTCCTGGCTGCCTGCGTCCCTTAACTTCTCTTCGCACTGAGAGAGCCGCACCACCCCGTCTCCGCTTCCAGGTCTTTTTTTTTTTTTCTGTCTCGCAGGCTGGAGTGCATTGGTGCAATCTTGGCTCACTGCAACCTCTGCCTCCCAGGATCAGGCAATTCTCCCTCAGCCTTCCAAGTAGATGGGATTACAGGTGGCTGGCACCATGCCTGGCTAATTTTTGTATTTTTAGTAGAGATGAGGTTTCACCACGTTGGCTGGTCTCAAACTCCTGACCTCGTGATTCAGCATCTCCGCCTCCCAAAGTGCTGGGATTACAGGTGTGAGCCACTGTGCCCGGCCCCCAAAATTGAAAATTTCTAATTTGCCTTCAAGATTGTTTTGGGCCTGGAGATTCTAATATTCTCTCCTGCCATTCCTCCTCGTCCCTCCCACCCTTGTTTTCTGTTCTTACTTTTTTTTTTTTTTTTTTTTTTTTGAGATGGAATCTCACTCTGTCACAGAGGCTGGAGTGCAGTGGTGCAGTATCTGCTCACTGCAACCTCTGCTTCCTTGTTCAAGGGATTCTTCTGCCTCAGCCTACCGAGTGACTGAGACTACAGGCGTGAGCCACCACACCTGGCTAATTTTGGTATTTTTAGTAGAGACGGGGCTTCACCATGTTGGCCAGGTCGGTCTCGAGCTCCTGTCCTCAGGTGATCTGCCCACCTTGGCCTCCCAAAGTGCTGAGATTACAGGTGTGAGTCACTGCACCCAGCCACTTTATGTTCCTTAGAGAACCAGCTCAGCCCAGTGCTTCTCAGCCTGTAGGCCTCAATTCTGGAGCAAGACTTTTGGGCTCCACGCTTCATTGCTTTGGAATATATTACCATCTCCAAATCTCAGTTTCTGTGTCTGTAAAATGGGTCAGGCTTTTCTGGTGATAACACTGAAAGTCTTGCATCCCAGGACCCCCCTCAGCCCTAGGCATACCTGTTGGTCACCCCAAAAATGGGGGAAATGAAAGTCCATGTGGAAGAGTTGTTGTCAGGTTGGGATGAACGGTGTGTACTGGTTACTGAGCATGGCACCTTTCAGGGCCTGCAGAGAATGGGAGAGAAAATTACTGCTCCTTACACAGAGTGGCAGAGTCCATGGCCTGAGTGTGATGCCTAAGGCCACCACTTACAGCTGTGTGCCCTGAGTTTACTTCATCTTCCTGGGTCTCTGTTCCCCCAGATGTTAAGAGGATGATAATGGTGTGGGCTTAGGGAGTATAGGAAGGATACAGTGAAATCACAGGTCAAGATCTTTACCAGAAAGTGGGCACCTGGTGCCTGCTGGGCAGGGGTGCCTGTGGTTAATCATCTTGTGGCTCAAAAGGTGTCAAGAGCTTCTGAACACTTAATGCTGTATTTTGGGCCTGGAGCCCCAAAACCAACCAATGGGGCCTTTTTGTTGTTGTGTTTCCATGCAGGACACAGAAGGACCAGTGAGGACTCTTACCTTGTCTCTAGCCTTCGTCCTTTTTTTAAAAAAATAACCCAAAGAATCAGATTTTTGGGATGAAAGAGGGTACTCTTCTCTAGCTCTCCCAGGGGTGCAAGGAGGACAGTGTCCATGAGGGGGCGCCAGAGCACCAGGCCCGGGGCCGCAGCCTCCCACACATGCCGGGCCTGGCCTGTGGGGCCAGCTTCCCAGGTGCTCCCAGGGACCTCCTGGCCTCCTACCCTGGGAATCCGGGAACTCCATGACTTAGACTCAGCACCCTAGACGCTGCCTGGAAGATTCTCTGGCTGTAGGCATTCACCACTGGCTTTGTTTGGACGAAGGCTTTGCTGCGTGTCAGACCCTGGGGGATGCCTAATTATCATTATCATGCTCCAGGGGAAGTGGATATCCTCATCCTGGGTTACACACCAGGAAACTGAGGCACAGAAATGCACGGAGCTAGGGTCCAAACCCAGAGGTCTAACCCGCAAATCTTTGCCGGCAGTCTCTGAGAATCAGTCTGGATCTCAGAATGATTGTACTAATCTTGGAGGCTTAGAATGCTAGAGTCATAGAAATACTCAGATCAAATATACATATTATTTTTTGCGTAGGTGGTGTATGGGTGAAAAGACAAAAGTAAAACCAGTTCCCCTCCTCTGACCATCCCCAGGTACTCTGGAGGTGACCACAGTGATAGTTTCTTAGGTCTCCTCTCCTGATAGAGACTCATCAAATCTTAGAATTAGATGGGATTTCTGGATGACTTGGTCTCTGGGACCCATCAGCTAGCACCCACCCCTCAGGTTCCTACTGGCATCACTGTCACAGCCTGGGTGAGTCTGAGGATCTTGAGGATCTTTTTTGGCTCCTGCAGCCCCCCGCCAGCTTCAGGCCCAGCCACTCCTTTAGATAGGGTTGGTGGTGTTTAAGGGGCTGTTCTCTCCAGGGACAGGGAGGCCTGCATCCAGCCTCCAGACTTCAGTTCCTCTGTGCCTCTCCTCCTCCAACGGGGTCCTTCTCTCAGAAACACCCTGCCTGCTCCTGGTAGGAACCCACTTTCCTCAATCCTGAGGAGGAAAGAGCAGAAGTGCCCAGAGCCGTGGGGTGGGCATCAGGCTGCAGTGGCTGGACTCGCTTCCCCATGAGATTGCCATGCAAGAAGGGGTTCAGGCTGGTGGGCCCACCACCTGGGAAGATAAAGGCTCCAAACCCAGAAGATATGTGTTTGATGGTGGGTCATCCGTAGCACAGATATCTCCTCCATCAGAAGCCTTTTCTGATCTCCAGGGCCAGGGCCAGGTCAGGGGCTTCTCGGGGCACCCCCTCCTCTGTCAAAGCTCTAGTCTGGCTGGATTATAATTTTCTCCCATCTGCCTGCTTCCCCATCAGAAGGTGTGCTCTGGGAGGGCAGGACTCTTCCCCGTGCTCAGCACAGAACAACACACTCCCTGCAAATGACATACTTGAGCCCAATACCTTTCACCCAAATCCAGTTTCCCGCTTCTGTGCCCCTTGAGGATTATGTATCTTACGTTAGCCATGTGACACACTCTGGCCCTTTAAGAACTAGGGCACAATTCCTCTAACTTCCTGTCCTCCGAGCAGCAGGAGTAGGGAAATTTCCAAGGTTCCTGGGGGAGGACACCGCAAAGCAGAGCCCTGTCCACACTCCTGCAATGGACATGTA